CTTCAGAAATAAGCATTGTTAGTGTAAGAAAGTGCACTGCTCTCACTCGTAAGTGGGAGCTGAACGATGAGAACATATGGACACATCGGGAGACGACACACATTGGTGCCTGTGGGGGGTTGAGGGGAGGGAGAGCATCAAGAAGAACAGCTGATGGGCGTTGGGCTTAATACCTGAGGGACGGGCTGATCTGTGCAGCAAACCACCATGGCTTACGTTTCCCTAGGTAATAAACCTGCACATCCTGCACATGTACCCCAGAACTCAAAATAAAAGCTGATTACAAAAAAAAAGAACATTGCATAGTAATATAAAATACGTGTGCATGTGAGCACGAGACCATGCCCATTACTTAAACCCATAGTTTACACTCACAACATTCTCAAATAGATGGTGTTTCTGCAGTACCTGTGTTTGTAGAGGTAAAATGCAAACCCTGATAAAATTAGAGCAAAGAAAGGAACCAGAATGGCAGCCGCCACAGAGCCACTGCTGGTGCCGTGGTAATGATTCGAAGAGTCTTGATCTGGGTTTAAGGGATCTGGAAGATAAAGGAAATATTCAATTTGTTGTTACTGTACTCTGCTTGAAGAAATAAGTATGATACATTTTATAAATGGATATGAACTCTACAAGAAGCAGACGGAGTTACCATTTCACAGGAAACCAACTGATATTCTTTTCTAAAGATTTTAATATCCACTTAGTGATCAAGACAAAAAACTATTTCCTACTAATCATGGAGAATACTACAAAAGAGTCCCAACATTTAAAATGTGAGAAAGGCAAAAGGGTCACTTTACATCCTGACTTTTGTTTATAGTTATAGGTATTTTCACAAAAACTAACTGAAAACATTTATATATGTTTTCTATATTCAGAGGTCAGTAATATTTGCTGTTTGTTTCTGTCTTAAGGCCAGACTCAGCAAAATATGTCATTGAAATTATGTAAATATCCCAGTTATGCATACAAATGGCATTGCATTCTTCATATGTGAATAGGATGGTGCTATCTGATCCGCCTTTATTTTAGGTAGATTCTGAAATTCACATCAGAATTTAGAAATACTCAAAAAAAATATAGTTCAACGTCACAATGCAAGTTTCCATGAAGACACAAAATAATGCTAAAATACAACTTTTTAAATTAATTAATTATTTTTCCTTTTTTTTTTTTTTTTGAGACAGAGGCTCACCCTGTCGCCCAGGCTGGAGTGCAGTGGAGCCATCTCAGCTCATTGCAACCTCCGCCTCCAAGGTTCAAGTGATTCTCCTGCCTCAGCCTTCCAAGTAGCTGGGATGATAGGTGCCCGCCACCATGCCTGGCTATTTTTTGTATTTTTAGTAGAGATAGGGTTTCATGATGTTGGCCAGACTAGTCTCGAACTCCTGACTTCAAATGATCCGCCCACCTCGGCCTCCAAAAGTTCTGGGATTACAGGCCTAAGCCACTGCGCCCGGCCTAAAATATACCTTTTATCCATTAGAAAGGAAGGCAAATGTAAATACTTCATGTATCATGAAGGTGATAGAATCATCCATTCTATAATACACGACTATGGAGTGTCTCATTGCATGGTACTGAGAGGAAAGCATTAAAAATTCAAATCCACAAATATTTATTAAGCAACTGTTGCCAAAGAAGAAAACAAGTTCTTGAAGAGTGTACTAACAAAATACAATTTTGAGATGGATTTGGTCTAATTGCATGGAGTCACTTAATGCAGGTGTGCAATGAATTATGATTGGCGTCATCTCAATATAGCAGAATTGTTAAGAAGAAGGTGATCTGGTTTTCATATTTCCAGAATTTATAAAATGTCAAATTCAAAGAGATGTTGCTTTATTTATTGTTATATAAACCAGAAATGCAAAAAATCAATCAAATATTAAAAATCTTTAAATCACTATTTGTATCAACATTCTTTAATTTTCATATAAAAACTTTCAAATGACATTATTTGCCATTTGCTTCAATCGATGTAGGATTATGACTGCCTACAATATTAACATCCAATAGGAACATATTTCGGAATAATGTTGGCTTTTTACAACTACATATCTTTTTGAGATTTGTCCCATCATCATGCAAAAGGAAAATGCCAAACGTCTGCTCTCTTGCAATCTGAGCACCCAGGTTATGGATGTGCAGTGAGTGAGGCCAACTGGATGTTCCCACCCCAGGCACTGTATTGGAAGTGAGGGATGCAAAACATTCTGTGATGGTTTAAAATTTGTTCCATGGGTGAAGGGGTTCTAGAACCCTGGGGACAACGTAAGTGTGTGTGTGTGTGTGTGTGTGTGTGCGCGCACATTGAGGGTGGTCCCAGCAGCAGCAGTGGTGGCAGCAGTGATGTCCGGTGACCAGGGGTGGTGCTGTCCAACAGAGAGCAGTGGTGCCCTACTCAGATGGCACCAACTTCATGGGTTGGTTGTGAAAATCATATGTTAGTACATCTCAAGGGCTTACAACAATGCCTGGCACAGAGGGAATGTTCACTCAGACTCAGAGTCACAAAAATAGAAGCTTCCTGAAGCCAGGGTTTTTGTTTGGTTTGGTTTGGTTTGGTTTGGTTTGGTTAGCTTTCCTCTTGAATCCTCAGAACCTGCAACAAAAGCTAGAATACAGTATGTGCTCAATATATATTTGCAAAATTTTAAAAAAAGTTTTGTCTTTATAGCATTTCAGCACCCAAATATGTTTTAGTTTCCATTATGTTGCGATACATTGATCTCCAAGTTTCTGTAATTCTGGGACTCTCTGTCTCATTCTTATAAATGTGTATTCTACTTACATTAACCATAGTTACTTTCTTTTATATGAAAACAAAGCTACACACTTTTATCCATAATAGATATCAAAATTCAAATAATAAAATGCTGGGAAATCTACATGTCCCAAGACACCTCACATGAAAACAAAGAACACCACATAAGAAGATGTTTGTGAATTACATAACCAAACGTACTGTGAGATTATTACATGTCTGCAGCTCCTGGTTAATTTCAGTTACTTACCCTTGTTTTAATAATTTGAAGGTTAATATACACACATGGTGCTAATTAAGATGGCATAAAGGGATATGAAAACAAATAATATAAAGGAAAATTAAAATAATCATTCCTTGCCCTACAAGGCAGTTCCTCTTTAGAGTTGAGGGTTTTAAAAATTGTCCTTCCAACAATGTACTCTTAATATATGTGATTATTTTTCTCTTTCCTCATTTTTATAATTGGTAATATTATTTGCATGTTGCATATGTGGCTTTTTAACCTTAACAGTATATTTCTGAGGCTCTTCCATTGGCATATTTGAATCAGATTTAATTTTTTAAGGTGTGTAGTATTCTACTGATTAGACATAACAACATTTATTTAGCCAGTCTACTGTCCAGGGACATTTAGGGTATTTCTAGTATCTTCTATAATGCTGCAATGAAATCTTTTGCTTCTATCTATGCATTAGCAGGAGTCTACATTATATAGGACAAATCTTCAGAAGTAGAATTATTGACGAACAGAATTTGTGCCTTTTAGTGTTGCTACATCCTACTTAATTGCTCTCTAAAGAGGCACTGCAATTTCATTCAACCATTATCCTACGAGGGTCTTTACAATAACACATGGACAGCATGTGTGATCCCTCTGCTACCCTCGTTTCCCTCCTCCTCCCGCTCCCTGTTTTCCCCTTTCCTTCATCCTCTCTTATCGCCCTCCTTCCACGTGTTATTATTGGTTCCACCACTGTTGTGCAACTGTTGCTGCTGCTACTATGGTGATAAATCAAACACAGTATTTAGGTATTATAAATTTACATTTTTTTACTGAAGAAGGAGGGTGATAAGCTAGGTCATTCAATTTTCTAAAGCTCATTCTTGAAACAAATGCACATCCAGTCACACAACACTTCATGTGGGGGATACATTCTGAGAAATGCTTCGTGAGGCCATTTTGCAGCCTCAGAGTGCACTCACACACCTAGATGGTGTTGCCTACTGCACACCTAGGCTATAGGTACAGCCAATGGCTCCTACGTGAGTAACGCCGTGCACTATGACATTATGGCAGCCATGGTGTCACCAGGTGTTAGGAATTTTTCAGGTTCTTTAGAATCTTACGTGGTCACTGGTGTATATGAGATCTTTTGTTGACCAAAATGTCCTTATGTGATGCGTGACTGTCCTATATAATTCATCCACTTAAGCTGAACACACAATCCAAGGCTTTCTCAGTGTATTCATAGGGTGGTGCAATCATCACCACGGTCTCACTTAGAAGACTGGTGTCCTTCCAAAAGAATCTCAGTATCTCTTAGCTTTATTCTTCCTCCACCTTCATCGCAACCTTTAGCCCTAGACAACCACTAATCAATGTCCCATCTCTATGGATTTGCCTGTTATGGACATTTCCTGTAATGGATTCATACACTATTTGGCCTTTTTTATCTGGCCTCCTTCATTTAGCATGATGTTTCAAGGTCCATCCCTGTTGTAGCATTCATCAATACTTTATTCTTCTTCAGTGCTAATATTCCATTGTGTGGCTATACTACATATTGTTTATCCATTCATCCATTGATAGACATTTTAGTTGTATGCGAATTTGGGTTATTACAAATAATGCTGCTCTAAGATTCATGTACAAGTTTTGTGTGACATATATTTTCAGTTCTTTCAGCTACACATGTAGGAGTGGAATTGCTGGAGCTTACAGTAACAACTGTTTGATGAACTGCCAGAGTGTTTTCCAGAGCAGCTGTATCATTTCGTGTTTCCCCAGCAAAGCACGACAGTTCCAGTTCCTCTGCCTCCTTGCCACCCTTTGCTATTTGGCTTTCAGATCACAATCATCCTTGTGGACGTGAAGTGGTATCCCAGTGTGGTTTTGATTTGCATTTCCCTAATAATGATTATAATCAACATATTTTCATGAGCTTATTGCCATTTGCATGTCTTTAGAGACATATCTATTCAAATCTTTTGTCAATTTCTTATTTAGGTTATTTGGCTCTGTATTTTTCAGCCATAAGAATTCTTTGTATATTCTGGATACAAGAACTTATCAGGTACACAATTTTATGTATTTTCTCTCATTCTTTGTGTGTATGCTAGGGTTGGGTCACTCAATCTTAATGGGGAAATTAATTTATTGTTGAGTTTCTTATGCAAGTTTTTGCATTAAAGTTGTCTTTCAAGTTAATTTTATTTTAGTATCCACTTAATGACAATCACATTTTTTGGTTTATCTACTGACTAGAAAAAATTAGGAGGTTGTTTATTTTTATCCATAAAAATAGATACTTGCCATCATTCTTAAATGAATGGTTGTTGTTGCAGAATTACTTAAACACAAACTTCTCTAATTAGTTGAAGGGCGGGGGGACTTACTTATGAGTCAAATTATTTTGTAAAGTAAATTTCTTTTTCCTGACAATAACCTCATCATCACATGAGAATACAAATTCCTTGTTGAAGCAAGCTGTTATTTTGTTAGATTAAAAAGAAATGGGGTAATGCAAATAAAATTAGTAATAGCAAACTGATAGTTCAGGTGAAGTTCATTGGATCAGTAAACTTAGACATCTACACAGCATCTTGTACAGCTCACTGGGGTGTCCTTAAACAAAATTACTAGAGCGTGTGCTACATAGAGAAAGGAGGACAACTAACTCCGGGATTTGGCTTAGAGCAAGAGAAAAAACATTACCCATCATTAGTGTTGGTCTAATGCGTTTATTCTATTTCATTACCTCAAAATAATATAACCCAATTTAAAATATAATCTCAGCAATGGCCAACATTATAATGCTCTTCTGTTTAATAATACTGTAGTTTGAATAGTGGAAGTAAAGTATTTTATGATTAATTATCCTTTTTTTTTTTTTTTTTTTTTTGCTTTTCTACAGGCCAGTAGACGTTTTTTTCATTCAGCACTTTGATAAAAGTCTTACAAAATAACTTCATCGTGGTAATCATCACAACATTGTATACTCACATTCTTCCAAAAGGTGGCTCTGGTAGCAAAGCCTATATGGTAATTTTCTTCTTTATAAAATAATGTGTGAATAGTATAAATGCATTAGACCAACACTATGTCTGGCATATTTATTGCATTATTTCTGGCTTTGTGTTTGTCTGTTTTGCTATTCAAAATACTTTTTTTTCATTCAGCTGTAAAATTTGTTAGTCTCTCCGATTATTTTTGTTTAGGTTTCTTTTAGAGTTGTCTTTTCCATGTCTTCATAGAAAAATCACTGGAAAGCCAAACTGGTATTTGCTTTAAAAAATATCCTAAGTGCAACTTACCTTGCCTTTCTAGCTTAAATTTTCCAAAGTCTTTTCCATGAATGTCACCTTGAAAGGTAAATCCTCCCCTTTCAAGTCCAGATGATACCTGATATATAGGAAAGAAAAGAAATATAAAGGTATACAAAAGGATGAATAATGTCTTCTTTTAATATATCTTTTAATATAACTGTTACAGCTCATATTTAGATACTACTGGTTAAATATTTTATTTCTGCCACTCCTTTTGGTGACACATATATAGTTAAAGATCAGAAACCAACACAGAAGTGAACTTCACCTAACGTATGTAAATCTCACAATCTCATTTTGATCTCGAAAATGATAGTAAATTTTACAGTATATCCATATGGTAACTACACTTTCTAAGGGAAGACAAATGTATGAATTAAGAAACAATCTACGTTATGTAAAACTGGCTGTGTGTCCCAGCTACTGGGCAGGGTACATCATGTGAGGCTGTCTACCCTTAAGTCAGATAGTGAATTAGAACACAAACAAATGGTTAACTTGCAAAGAAGGGTGTTAAGGGGGACGTCTTAAGTCTCTCTATTTATCTGGCAATGATTTCTCTTAGAACGAGCAGCATGGTTATCAAGTGGTCTTAGAAAATTTCTGGTGGTACCACTCATGATATAATGTAGCAGTAACATCACAGACCCTGGATTTCAGGTCTTGTTCTGCCCTCAACTGCAACCACCCCTTTAAGGATGGCCAATTTATTTCTTACATCTTAGACCTGGTTTCTTCCCTTATAAAATGAACAAATAAAATGACCACTCTGTCAACAAGAGGGGCGGCTGAGTTTTCAAGGGGCACACACAAGACAGCTCTACTCAGAAGCCTCCAATCCGTAGCCCTTGCCTCTGCAGAGATATTAGAAAGCCTGTGCTTTGTCACAGACCTTACACATGTACTTACGTAACCATCTAGTCCCCAGTTGTCATTTTCAAACTTGCTTACAAAAATATCTGCCGGACCTTTAATTTGAAAAGCTTTTAGGAGTAAGTGGGCCTCCTCCTTCTTGTAAACGCCTGTGAAAAGATCAGCAGGTCAGGTTTACCTTGGAGAAAGTTAGCAATTCAGCCCTTTCATCCATTTGATGTGGAATGTGGTACAGAGACGACAATATCATAGATAATAGAAAACTCAAACAGAAATTGTATTTTTATTTGTGAATTTTAGCCTCGGAGCTTCTTTTTTCCCCTGAAAATCTTCCTACATCCTTGTCTATCTTGAATAGGTATAATCCACTCCACTAAGTTCAAAACCCTTATTCCACAGAAAGAATAAATAATAACATATTTGATTTTGCTAATTAAAAAATCTCTCGCTAAAAAAGTACACAATAAAAATACTTATATCACAGAATTAATGTAAGAATGAAAAAGATAATACACATACGGTGCTTAAAATACTGTTTGCCATATAAATCAAGGCTGTTTTATTAATTGTGTGATGATTTTAAAAATCTCATGATGAGCACATGAGTTAAGAAAAAAAGGATTAAAAATAAAGTTTGGAGACATGCATTATCTATATATGAATCTCAGATTCTTGACTTAATATGGGCATAATTCTGAGCAAATCAGTTCACTTTTCTGTACTGGTTTTGTAATCTTTAAAATGATAAAATAGTACCAACCTCTTATGGCTAGGGAGAGGCTCCAATGAGTTACAGTATATTAATTATTGGCTTTAATGCAAAGCCAACAGAACATTAATAATTAATACTTACTAGATCACCTCTTTGTGAAAAGATAGCGGGTCTGTTTCCGCTCACACCATGCATTTAGTGAATTCTTTGGGACCTACCTGTCAACTTCAGCTCCACTTGTGAGGCTTCACTGAAGGTGGCATTCACCTTACTGCTTGTTGCATTGAACCAGTCAACAGTTAGAGTGGCGGGTTGCCTTTTCCCTAAATATTCATAATATCCCTTCCACACTGAATTGACGAAAAAGACGTCTGAAGGAACTGTGGGAAGGGGGGAAACAGATGAATGTCAGCACACACACAAACAATAAATTCAGACATCATTAAACATAGAAGGCATATACTGCTTAGTGAGCGATCACAGATGAGGGCAGTGATGAAGACAAGGGGAGCCTAGTGCATCGCTGTTCACAGCATTTGCAAAACTCAAAAGAAGCAGGTGCGAAGATTATTATGGTATGCAAGTAGACATTTGTGTTTATGGTTTTATTTTTATTATTATTATTAGAAGCCAAAGCATACCTATTTTAACAGCCTTTCCAAGTTCATGGGGTATGGTGAATTAGGACTTCTAACGTTAGTTTAGTTTTTACTGTGCTTAGTAAGAAATATGTTTACTTGACCCATGAAATCACTACTGATATTTCAATAATATCCAAGTCTACTCTTTGAAAGACTTGGAAGGCTCAGAAGAACTGATCTATATCATACGACAGCAATACCCTGTCTTGAAAAAGCTTACATATCCCAGCACCAACTGCACTGGATATTCCAGCACCACATGGACTTATGAAGACAAAGCCCTTTCATTTCAGAGTCTTTCTTTTGTAAGTAGAGTCGGTCTCTCTCATTCACACTCTTCTGCTCTTCTTTAATCTCTTTGTGTAAAATATTCCATAAGTAAGAAAAGATGGGCTCAATAATTTCAAATTTTTCTTTCATATATGTCTTTTAAATTCAGTAATAAAAGACACAGTCTTTTTAAAGCATAGAATTCATCGACAGGAAAACTCGCAAAGATTATTGAGATATTTCCTCATGCTTTCACTGCTTAAGAAAAAAAAAACTTATTTTTCATGTGTTTGTTTAAAAATGTGTATAAAATCCTGCCATTTTCACACATGAATTGTAGTGTATAAATCCACATGATGATTCCAATGTTCCTTTTTGTTTTCTGCCTTATGATGTGTATGAATTATTTACTTAGACAAGATTCATGATAAGCATAATTGTTCAAAACACATTGCTTGAGTTGCTAAGTGGAAATGAAGATTCATGTCTCCCTAACCTATTTTTTAGAAAGTCCATTTACAGTTGCAAATAATGAGGACAAAAGTATATTGTGCCTATACCTATGCTTCTCTTTTCAGCCCAGTTGGCCATTTTCTTGTTTTTCTAGTCAGGCTAAACCTATAAAGCTTGGCCTAGCAAGAGAAGGGTTAAAGAAGAAGAGAAGATAATAGCTTCCTTTGGCCTTGAGTAGACCCCACCTTCTCATAATAATAATGATAAGAAAATAAGTTAAAAACTCATATATCCACACAAGTATCTAACACATTTGCTTACAAATCACTGAGTTTAGTTAGACACATCTACTTAGCCATTGCCAGCACCACAGAGACCCCCATTTTAATCAGCAACTCCAAAATAACTTTATTTTCCATTACTAAAATTAATAGCCTTTGAAGCACATAAAAATGTTTTCCCTAATTAGAAGTTATATGCTCTTCTGAAGTTACTAAACCACTTGTCCAAGCATTCACTTAAGGTAATCCTGTTGAAGTTTCACAGGAATGGGCCAGGCTTGGCTGGGTAGAGTAAGATACAACCAATGTCTCAGAAGTGGCTTCTGTGTATTAAATATGACCACGAGCCATGTGGTAGAGGTCATCTTTCTGGGTCTTTATAATTTCACTTGTTGCTGGCAGCCTGCAGTATAATGCAGAAGCCACATAGCTGAGATGTACTACAATGTACCACCTTGATGAAGAATCACATTCTATTAGCACTTCCCTTCCAAGAGCATAAGAAAAGGAATATTGATAATAATGTTTGCACCTACAAAAGGAGTGTATAGAGATTTCAATATCTTAAACACAAAATAAGCAAATAAAAAACAAAACACACACACAACAATAATAACAAAAAGAGACTGTGTTTTCTTCCATTGAAGAAAATGTTGCCTGGATAAAAAGCTTTGACTTCTGTATGTGATTTTTAGGTGATATTTAAATAAAATAGTCTAGAGAGATTTAAAAAATATTTTATATTCTTTAGTATGCAGATTGGAGAAATTCCTTTAGTCATATTGGCACATTTTTCTTTGTCTAAGAATTAAGTGTGTAATACAGCATCCTGACAATAGCATTACAAATACTCTTTCCATGTTTGATTCTAAAATAGAGCTTATGTCCAAAAAAAAAAGTGTTAAAACCTGAATAAAGTACTAGTCAAGTGACCTTATATATTTACAAGGGATTTCTCTTTCTGATAAAACAACAACAACAACAAAATACCCAACTTAAATTAATATAATTTGGGATCCATTTTGTTATTTAAATATAATTTAAATTTAAAACACAGATAGAACATGGCAGATGATTTTGTATTGTGAAAACTTTCCTCGGGAAATAGGACAAAACACAGATAGAACATGCCAGATGATTTTGTATAGGGAAAACTTTCCTCGGGAAATAGGACTGCATTTTTGCAATTTGCTACATAATGCATTTAGCAAAAGGCACCACATACAACAAAAAACTATAATTAACATCTTAGAAGGCAAAGGATGCCTGAATGAATGGAGATACTTGGAAAAAATCGGGCTCCATATTTGAACTGTTTGCATTAACAACTTACGCTGTAAAAATGCCTCATTGATATGAGCTTCCTCATTTGGAGGAAGAAAATCGCAACCCTCTTTATAAGGCTCTCCATTATACCACATGGAATGATCAGTGTTTTCATTTCTCCTGCCAAACGCGGAAGGCATGTTTGAATGAAACAGTGTGTGATAACACCAAAGGTTTTCTTTCTAAGTGGAGTAATGTTATTTCATTAACAAACCATTGTTGTGAAATACACAGAATTCTATGTAGGCTTAGTGTTTTAAATAATTGAAACATTAACTTTGTCATGGACTAACGGATTCGGAA